ATTATCTTAATAAACATTTACTAGATCTGGCTACATACTATATGACTAGATTCACGAGAGGTCGGCTAATGTGTGTAAAAGTAAAAAATTACAGTAATTTCATTAATTTACCAGCGATCGTACTTCGGAAGCACTGAAAATGAATGGGGTTCAATGCTGGAACTATCAGTGGTTGGAACTAATGGGCGGGTCCATGACACGCGTTACTTCCACATTCCTGAGTTACAATGGCGGTCTATGGGACATTGGGACTGTCAGAACTCTCTGAATACATGGCTCTGATGTGTGCTATTATGTAGGATAATTCACTGTTGTCAACACTGCGTACATTAGACACATACTGTAAGGTAAATAAACAGATCTAGGAATGAACTTGCCTACCAGCTCCAAGTAGAGGAAAACAATGGTAAACTAAGGACCAATTGTGTACCTTCAATGGTACAGTTATACGTTTTGTTCCACAAGCAACAAAATTGTACGTCGTCCTCCACTGGACCTTTTTTCACCTTATTGTTTTTATACCACATGCCCAAATAAAAATATGTTTATATGAGTATAGCTGATTTTCCAGACTGAGATATTTTCTTGTAGGCCTATATACTCTTGAATTTTTAATATAATTAATTTTTTATATTAGTTCGTTGATTTTGTTCTTTCACGTCGACTTAATTTTTTTATGCAGTGAGTGATCAGATACCATTAATCCAAATGATTTGAAGAATCACAATGAATGTCTAAGAAACAATCGGAAAACGTCGAGTTAAGTAGCTTTAGAGACATAGCCCTGTATGTTTGCATATTTTAATAAATATGATGGAACATAGTTTTAGGAATTGTAGAGGAAAATATTGTTTTTTTTATTTTTGTTATTGTGTCCTTGTCTGCCCCTGACAAAACCCTTTTGAAAATAAAAAGCATTTCTTTTTGGCATGTCTCTGTAGTGAGAAATTCATTTCGCTGTCACTGCTGACCCCTAGTGGTCTTGAACACATGTTCAGTTAAGTGATGTTGTGATTTTATATCCAAGTAAAGTTGGGATGTCATCATGGATCTGTATACAGTGGGTTGAGGAGAACAGACAATGAGGACACTGATATGCTTTATTCAAGGGCATAATTAATGACATTAGAAACATCTCATACTGAAGTGCTGACTGAGATCGTTCAACAGTGTATAGGATTCAGATGATAGGATTAGAAGAGCATTGCTGCTGGGTACCAGCTCATGTAGGGGAAAAGGGAATGAAATCGCACAATTAAGCAACAAATAAAGCTGATATAGACATTAAGGTAAAACATAGTGAGACTGAGATGAAATGTTTAATTAAACAACATGTGAGGAATAGATGGCGGGGGAGGAAGAAAGAACAAGAAGAGGGTTTCATAAGATTCAAAGAGTCGTAGATAAAGGCAGAACAACAGGGAGAAATAGAAACGATAATATCAAGATTTAGATTTGGGCATACTGAACTTAGTAGCCTTCATTGAAGACAATAGGGAGACATGAGACAGGAAAGTGTCAATATTGTAAATGTAATCAAAAGGATTCTGTAGATCATGTTATATTAATATGTCCTACATATAGTAATAAAAGTAATATGTTCATTTACAACCTCAAGAAAATTAAGAATAAATCGGAGCTTATAAAACTTTATAGATACACTAGATCTCACCTGGGGGTTCTAAGCATGCGTCAAAACCGCCGCCATCTTGGAACAGGGGTCTTGTCATAGAAAGTAGCTTTGTAACGCTGCTATCTCTGCCTTTACTTCGAATTCATTGATGGTGGCGGACTTTTGTGCAGCGTATGATGTTCACGGATGAAATCTGAACTAGGAAGAATGTTTTAAAAAAAAATCTTTCTGTAATCAATGATAAATACATGTCTGACCGTTGGAACAAACCAAAAAAACAAGAAAAATCGCATTCATGATGAGTTATGGTGATTTTATTTGCGTTAGACCTGTCTACTACATTGACACTGGGGCTCCCCTGTTTCAAGATGGCGGCTCTATTGACGCATTCCTTCCAATGAACTGCCGTATCCAAGGTGATGTCTAGTGTATGTCTATACCTTATAGGTGACGCCATCTTGGCTCACATTCCTAACCAGCAGGTGGCGGTAATGCACTAAAGGTTGAATGCCGTCCGCCATGAACGAGCAAGAATAGGAAGAAGAATCTCTGAGCCTCTTGAGCAAGTGAAGGTTATAAGATTTCTTGGAATGTGGTTTGATGAAAAATTGACATGGAAGATTCATTTGGAAAAAAATGATTAATAAATGTAAAAAGATTGTTAATATCCTACGATGTCTATCAGGACAAACATGGGGAGCAAGCAGGACATCGTTACTAAATATATATTGGGCACTAATGAGATCTGTCTTTGATTATGGGTGTATAGCATATATGTCATCAGCAGAATCTAATGTTAAAGCATTGGATGTCATGCAAGCTCAGGCTTTAAGGATATGTAGTGGATCTTTTAAAACTTCCCCAGTGTCTTCTATATGCAAGTCGAAATGGGTGAGATGCCTTTGAGCATCAGAAGGATACAACTGATGTTGGCATACTGGGTTAATGTGAGGGGACAAGTTGACAGCCACCCAGCTAAAGCTATCTTAAAAGAATGCTGGGAACACATTAAGTCCAATTACAGAAGTTTTGGGTGGATTGGTGATGTGAAAGCTGAGAATATAGGGTTATGTAAGTTACAGTACTGTTCAACGGTTTCAATCCCTCCTATTCCTCCATGGTTTTTCTCTATACCAGATGTAGATTTAGGCGTTCATAAGGAGATCAAAAATAAAGCAAAGGAAGTAGTAGTGAAGGATATAGTTAAGAGGTATTTGGAAATGCATTATTTTGGATATACATATATATTTACAGATGGATCCAAGGATCCAAAGACAGGACATGCTGGATCAGCAGTATTTATTCCAAACAGTGGGGTTAAATGTCAAGAAAGAATAACAGATAATTTATCAGCATACACAACATATAAATAATAATTCAGTGATTATATCTGATAGTTACTCAGCTTTAGAAAGCATTAAATCTGGGAAATCCATAAGAAATTATATAATTCATAAAATTTGGATGATTTTACATAAGTTAAATGCAAAGGATTTAAAAGTCAGGTTTCTCTGGGTACCTGCACATGTTGGAGTGAAAGGGAATGAAGAGGTTGATAAACTTGCAAAACAAACACTGAAACATAATAGAATATTACAAGTTCCATATAGCAAAACTGAAGCTAAAATATTAATTAAAGCTTATGCAAGATCAAAATGGCAGGAGTATTGGGTGGATCATGATAAAGGGAGACATTTATATAATATTCAACCAGAAGTGGGTATAGGAAGAATAGAGAGTAGGAGTAGAAGAGAGGAAAGTATAATAACACGGTTAAGAATAGGACACACAGGGCTTAATTCGTCATTGAAACTAATAGGGAAACATCCAACAGGGAAATGCCAGCATTGTACTCATTTAGAAACTGTGGAGCATATTTTATTTCAGTGCACAAAGTACAGTGAAGAAAGAAACCAGTTTTTTCAATCTCTTAGAATGGTCAATCAGAATAATTTCACAATGCAAGGTTTATTAGGGAAAACATCCAGCAACAATTATCACTTTGTTATTAAGTTTCTGAGAGATACAGACTTGGCAAAAAGGATATAATTTTTTTTTTTTTAATTAAAGTTCCAATATCTCCTGATTCACACTCCAGCCCAGTCGGTGGCGGTAAATGCACCGTTAAGTTGGTTTGCCAACCGCCAAAAAACAAAAAAGAAGAAAGAAGAAGAAGAAGAATCTCCAGTAAACAAGTGACCATGGAAGATAGTGTGGCCAGAGGTTGATTGGTTTGTGTTACAGGAAAAAAGGAAGGCTCAGGAGGATATTAATTTAGAAAGACTAATCAAAGACCGGTTGTTGGAAAAATATAGTACTTATATACAGATTTATACAGATGGAGCTAAGAATCCAGAGACGGAAGCAACAGGATTAGGGGTGGTGATACCAGATAAAGGATCAGGAATCAATAGGAGAACATCTAATCAACTAGGGGTCTATACAGTGGAAATGTTGGCTATATTAATTGCATTACGATGGGTAGAAAGGACGGGTCAGGAAAAAGCATTGTTATGCTCAGATTCTTCAGCAGTTTTAACAAGTCTACGGTCATTCAAATCTAAAAGTCGTCAAGATATTCTGTGGGAGGTACTTCAGTCAGTAACAAGAATAGTTAATCAAGGTGGACAAGTAAAGTTTATATGGGTACCAGGACATGTAGGGATAAGGGGTAATGAAATGGCTGATCAATTAGCAAAAAGGGCATTAACAAAAGGAAATATAGAAATGCAAGTTGGTATAAGTAAAGCTGAAGTTAAAAGTGTGATATGGGAGAAAATAAATCAAAAGTGGCAAGTAATGTGGGATAGAGAGAGGACAGGGAGACACTTATATCAAATTCAAAGGGAAGTTAAGGAAACAAGGGTTGAAAGTGGAAATAGGAGAGAAGAAATTGTGATCTCTAGGTTAAGATTGGGACATTGTTTATTAAATAAAACGCTTAAGTTAATAGGGAAACATAATACCGGAATGTGTGATGGATGCCAGGAAGAGGAGTCTGCAGAGCATATTATTTTGAGATGTAGTAGGTATGGAGCGCAGAGAGAGATGATGAGAAATAAGCTAAGGGAGATGGGAGTTCAGAATATCACATTAAAAGGGTTATTGAGTTGTGATAGGGTGCAGACTAGAATTCTTATGACTTTCTTAAGAGAAATAGGGGTTTTTAATAGAATATAAATAAAGGTAGTGTGGAAGTTAGCTTGCAGAATGAATGGGATGAGGTGTGAGGGGGGGAAGGGGATTTAGTCTGTAAACCTATTCTCTGTTCCACACTCCGGAGCAGAAGGTGGCGGAAATGCACCAATAAGTCGGATGCCAACCGCCGTAAAACAGTAAGAAGAAGAAGAAGAAGAAGAGTAAACAAGTGGGAGTTCACGGAGTTAAAACCTAAAAGCTTATGTCCGTGTGTTTATTAAATCAAAGCAGAGATGTAGCATTCCCTCGTTGTGAATGTACACTGGCCAGTTTAACTTTAAACTGAATTCTGCTGCTGGCGGCAGGTTTGGGCGTTTAGACGTTGACAAGGAAGAAACTACGCAAGCGTAAAAGTCCAAAATCATGGTTTGTCTCCTGTGGCCACGGGTTTCTCCAAGATCTCTGCTCTTCTTTCTGTTTTTCTTCTTTTGTGGGACTTCTTCACTTCAAGCAGGTAAATTATGAACATTTGCTGAGTTTTATAGAGAACGAAGAGTAACGTTTCTTTCCTGCTCAGACTTAGTAACGACAGAACTGAAATTTGATTAACGTTACAAACTTATGCTTACGTTGTATATGAAATATAAGTATGTATGTACATATTTATTACTAAAGTGTTTGAGCCAACTATGGACGCAAGTTGGTCGCAATTTCCATTGAACTCTATTGGTAACGACGGAACTTGCAACCATAGTTGCAGTTGGCTAACGATGCTTTCGGGAAACGCACCCCAGAGTGTTTTTAATTATTTTACTTAAACATACTTTAGAACATTAAAGCAATACCAGGTTACTTTTGTTCTCGGGGTCCCCCTACAGTTGGGAAACAGTATTGTCCTCTACTACTGTCGTAAACTCTGTTATCCCACATGCACGCGCATTTGTTGACAACAACCATGATAGCCCTGAACACTGTAGGAGGACGTCACATGCAGGTGTTCTGCTTGCGTCGAGTGTGAAATGTCTCCATCCCAGGTACAGTGGCATATACAGGATGACATATGAATATAATTTCATGAGTTTTATTTTTTTCTAACGACAATTGATCGCGATGCTCACGTTTACAAGCCAGCGTCATTATAGTAGCCTAGTCTGTTACCCGTTTTACTGAATCTATATGATACTTCAACGCAATGTTTCAGTGGTAGATAATAACCATATATCGCCAATATTATAATATCAAGCTACCATAAATGAATCAGCAAAATCGGTTTGCATTACAGCTTGAGGAAAGGAAAAATAAACGAATATCACAGACATGTTAATAGGTATCCAAAAATATGATTTTGTACATCTTATATATTTCCTTGCAAGAATGTAGCAAACTTGTACACGCCGTTTAGAAGTTAAAACACCAGTTAACTTTATTTTGAAGATAAACGGAGGATAGGATAGCTTTCATAGTAAGGCAGACAAAAAAAAACAAAGAATAGAGATAGGCTATGCAAGCAATACTTACTAGTCCAGCATGACAGCCAAGTAACGTTACGCATCGGTTCGCCCCCATCCTCCTCCTTCAGCTCACGCCAGAAAACACTGGCCCAAAGTTAAACCTCGTTCTGTCTTTAACACGATCACGTTTCTCTTTTTGCTTTTGTCCGATAAAACCTTTGCTTTCTTGTTTTTCTGTGCTGCTTCGGCCATGAATATAACATTTGGCTCGCACGTCCGATTTTAAGGAAGTGGGGGTGGTGGTGGAAGTGACGTATATGCCGTACAGCAGTCGAATTTTGTAGTTCTCTTTGTTCGCGGGGTTACTACCCGAAACCCGAAGTTTAAAAGTACAATTAAAAACGCTACAGACCCTGTCGGGCTATGGCAGACGTGTCATTCAACCTATTGTAAGTCGATGTACCATCACAAGAGACTTGGAAATATATTATGAGGGTTGAAAAGTTACCTGGTGTTACTTTAACACTGAAGTGAACTGTTATTTCATGTATATGCTATTCCTCTTTATTACAGAGAGACACTCGCTGTATTACATTTACACTAGTTTGTCCAAACCTGTGGATCTGCCGGGCATCTATGACTTCACTGCTATGGGTCTGCTAGACGACACACAGATTGAATATTACAATAGTAAAGAAAAGAGAAAGATTCCCACACAGCGCTGGATGAAGGAGAAAATGCTGGAGGATTACTGAGAAAAAGGCACTCAGTCGAGAAAGAGCAAAGAACAGTGGTTTAACGTCAATATCAAGATTCTGATGGAGCGCATGAGGCACAATCATTCAGGTGAGGAACGTTGAACAAGTTTAATTTGCATATATATATATATATATATATATATATATATGGATATGTACATATATTCTAATTTATTATTGTATTTATTATTGTTATCATCTTACAAACATTTCAGATCTTCATGTTCTTCAGTGGAGACACGGTTGTGAAGTTGAGCAGCAGGGAAGTCAAGTGAAGTTTCTCAAAGGTGTTTCGGAGTACAGCTATGACGGAGAAAACTTCCTGTCTTTTGATGATAGAGAGTCTCAATGGGTCGCCCCAGTTTACGCAGCTCTACCAACCAAGAGAAAATGGGACAGTGTGCCGATCCTAAACCAATACACCAAAGGTTACCTGGAGAAAGAGTGTGGGGACTGGCTCAACAAATTCAGAGAATATGGAGACGAGGAGCTCAGAAATGGCCGTGAGTAAATGTGTTTGTATTTGTTTGATCATCCGCAGATGATGAATAAGATTCATGAACAGATTTCTGTGTTTTCAGCGCCTCCAGATGTTCATATATTTGCAAAGAAGTCTATCAGTGACAAAACCAAGCTGACACTGACCTGTCTGGCCACCGGCTTCTACCACAAAGACGTGATGCTGACCATTAGGAGATATCGCAGATCTCTGCCTGATGATGAGATTGAATCCTCAGGAGTCAGACCAAACCATGATGGATCCTATCAGCTGAGGAAGAGTGTGGAGATCAAGAAGGAGGAAAGAGATGAATATGATTGTCTTGTGTCCCAAAGAACCCTCAAAGAACCAATCATCATCAAATGGGGTAATTAAAGCTACCGTATTACCCAATTTCTCACTCATTTTTTTTTTAAATCCTACAATTGTTCCCTAAAACTATTTTTATCTTTTTGCATGTGTACAGTTGGAGCATGCATTGATTGCCATGTAAATGTTTGGATTGGAGTTGTGATTGCAGTTGTGATTGGGCTGGCAGGTGTTGCTTCTGTGCTTTACGTCTTAGTGAAGAAAAAGATCATTGGTGAGTAGTGACTGATTAATGATGATCCACACAATACACTCCTCCGTGACGGTTTTGTGTTGTAAATGTGACGCGTGTCACAGCGAGAACATTTGAATCCTAGAGAGTTTTGGTTTGGGTTTAATCTGGTTCTTTGGTTTCAGAAATCCACATAATCCAAAGACATGCAGCTCAGGTCAATTGGTGAGAGAGAGAGAGAGAGAGAGAGAGAGTGTGTGTGTGTGTGTGTGTGTGTGTGTGTGTGCGTGCAGTGGTTAAAGTGGGATTTGTCAGGTGGGGGAACCCTCAAATTTTGTGTAGGTGCAACAGAGAAAAATGACTCACCGTGGGACAACATATTGAGTATCGTGGTATAGCAATACATTTTGGGTGGCGCTGTGGCACCAAGTAGCCTGACACTTATTTACTTGATATTTTAATGGTTTTATTTTGGCCCATCTACACTGATTTAATGACAATACTATGTTGAAATTGTTTAAAGGGATAGTTCACTTTGAAATTAATTTTTGATATGTTTTATCTTACCTCGAGGGCATCCAAGATGTAGGTGTCTTTGTTTCTGCAGTATTTTCAATTTTGATATTTTTAAGTCAAACCGTTCTTGTCTTCAGTCATATAATGGAGGCTAAGGAGGTCCACCAAAGAGCATGCACAGAGAAGTCCAAATTAAACATGATTTAATGACTCGTAAATGTAAGTACACATTGATGGCCTAAGACACGAAACGAGCGGTTTGTGTGAGAAAACGAACAGTATTTATATAGTTTTTACCTCTTGTAATCACAGTGACGTCCATGTGATCTGAATCAGTTGTTCAATGTCCAACTGAACCGAACTGAATCAGTTCATTAGCCGCTTTCCGACCGGAGGGACTTTTGCAGTTCCTAGAACCTAACGTTCCTATAACCCTTTTTTTCTCGCGTTCCGACCGGACTAAATTGGGGATTTTTTAGTTCCTCAGACCGTAGTTCCTATAACTCTTTCAGTACCTAGTCTAGAGCGAGGACTTTTTTACTTCCCTTTCCCTAGATCTACGTTGATTGGTTCAACTTATAAGTCACGCCCACTGTCAACACGGAACTTGTAGCGCGCTGTCTGCCATACGCTGTGTGTTTTTGCAAAACATTACAACGAGGATTAAGACAAACATAACACATTCAACCAGCCAATTGCTAATGCTAGCTAAACTTACCCGTCGTTTTGTTTGCCTACTGCGCTCGGCTCTTTTATCTTCTTCCATCATATTACTTATTATCATATTACGCTGGAGCCTTCGTCTTCTGTGTTTCTCTGTACAGAACTCAAGCATAATCTTTAAACGCCGCCGTTCATTCTCCGTTATCAAGGTCCCGGCAAGGCAGGTTTGTTGTTGTATGTGGCCGCGTTACGTCTAGTGATGGCGCTATAAAGACCGTCGCCGTGCTTGCGTTACCCCTCCTACCGGTTCCTATGGCCACTTGGCCAGTGCGAACGCAAGCAGCAAAACCGAGTTTGGGGGAGAGTAGTTCTTGGACCTGTTTAGAAGTGGACAGTTCCTATAACCAAGTTCCTGTAACTACTTGGTCGGAAAGTGGCTAATGTTACGCCGGAAGTGATCGCTTGCGTGTGACGTCACTCAATATTTACACGGAGATTTCGGAAATTTTACCTTTTACTAAACATATTTAGATATACCGAAATCGTCTTCCATTGCGGTTTCCCGTATATCTAAATATGTTTAGTGAAAGGTAAAACTTCCGAAATCTCTGTATAAACAAAGAGTGACGTAGGCGCGCAAGCGATCACTTCCGGCGCATGCGCAGACCGAAGCGCCCGCGCCGTCAGATCATTTTGTCATGGCTTTGATTACAAGAGGTAAAAACGATATAAATACTGTTGGTTTTCTCACACAAACCGCTCGTTTCGTGTCTTAGGCCATCAATGTGTACTTACATTTACGAGTCATTAAATCATGTTTAATTTGGACTTCTCTGTGCATGCTCTTTGAGGTGAACCGATTGAGGACCCCCTTCACCTCCAGTGTATGACTGATAGACAACAACGGTTTGACCAAAAAATGTCAAAATTGAAAATACTGTGTAAACAAAGACACCTACATCTTGGATGCCCTCGAGGTAAGATAAAACATATAAAAAATTAATTTCAAAGTGAACTATCCCTTTAAAGCAGCGCTCAGTAAGACTGGGAACTTCTTTGCTGTTTTCTCGCAGGTTTCTCTCTCGAGCTCCCCCTACAGTTTCGGAGTATATATAGATATGCGAAAACTGTCGTAAATTCGTTGTCAACTCTCCACCCCCCCCTCCCATCTCGTTCAGGCCATGTGCATTTGTTTTCAGAGAAGCCGGCGAACAAACGGAGCATATGCGTCATTAACGGGGGGGGGGGTTTGTTGGGCGGGGGGACGGGGGACATGTTCCCACCACTTTTTGACAGGGTCGATTTTGTCCCCACCACTTTTGAAACATCTCGCGGCACAGATGTACCAATACAAATAAAACATCTCCAGTTAACAGCATTCGTTTCATTTGTTTGTTAAATAACAGGCGATCTAGCACTGAAATGTGTTACCTTCTCTCAGAAACGCGCTTCAATCCGTTGCGGAGATTCTTTCCGGTGAAATCACAAATCTAAATGCACACAAATGTGTCCCTTTTTCTCATGGGTTCTCATCCGCTCTCGTATATTTCCCCCCCCCCTCATCAAAACATATAAAACCACTGATTAACATTATATCAATTCAACCACTGATAAACATTATTAGTTTTGATGAGGGGAAAAAAAAACTATTCGAGTGCGGAATTCTACCTCTGGACGGACCATCATTGTACATATGCTATCAAGAGCGAATATTTTCTATATACTCTCTATACTCGGACATTGTGCTCATTTTTATTTATGTACATCAGGAAGCTACAGGACATCGTCTTTCAAAACATGACCTACTCGAAAGAGAAAAAAATAATGAATGTGTCATTGTACCCAGCACTTTTGAAAATGCCCTTCCAAATGCGTCTCTGTCCCCAGCACATTTCAAACCAAACTGACGCCCGAGCCATGTCCACTGAGGTATGTATGATTCTCAGAACAATATTATTCAAATGTTGAGAGAGTGTATATTTTTATTGTGTTACCAAACGTAATCAGTAACATTATGGTTAAAAATCAATACTATAAGAAATATTTCCGCTATTTATTTATTTATTTATTTATTTTTAGTTTAGCCTACAGCTATAGCTACTTAGATTATGCATTATCAAAATAAATGTTACATTACATTCTTCTATCATTTTTCTGGTGATCCGAGTTGTCTATCGTAACGATTGACCAAAGAAAGTCAAACACGTTTAATTTGTTTATTACAAGTTTGTTTATTTTATTATTGAAGCTTGAGACCGGTGGTACTGGTGGTCTGGGGTGCCTCGGAGTTGATGACACTTGCCAACGCTTGTAGCTAAAAAGGAAAAAGAAAATATATCAATCTTTTATCAACATCATTTATACACGAGGTCAAACTAGCACAGATGGAGTTGCATGTGTGAAGTTGCAATGCAATTTCTCGTTTTCTTATAGTTCTGTTTGTGTAAATGTGGGTAAATAAATATAAAAAGTTGCATTATTAGCTAGCAGCTCTCGTTTCGGTTTATGCATTATATATCAAGTCAGCACAGTATATAACGTTACTAATTCTGAGGCTGACGACAAGCTAAACTAATGCATAATTTGTAGAATTTCATATCGATTTATTGGCGATCTGAGAAACACAAATAAACCCTGCTAGAGGAATGGACAAAACACTAACTTACAGAAAACAAGCAAGTTTGTTTGCTAATGAAAATGCTAACATCTAAGTTACAGTATCTAACGTACTAGTAAGCCTGTAACAGACAGCGAGCATAATAAAAAAAAAAAAACAGACAATAGCAAACATCCCGACTCCCGAGGTCACAATTACAAGAAATACAAACATTAAACACAGTTTATTATAAAGATAATTACAAGTGCAACAGCAAGAAGGCCAGGTCAGCATCGGTTTTGCAGGCTTCGCTTTCTTTCAGTTCTCTCTATTCTGAAAAAGCCGGTCCGTTTTCTCTTTCTTTGTTCCTCTGATAAACACTTCCGAGCTTTCTTCTTCTTCTTTTACATCAGCCATCACGAAAACTTGAAGAACTCAATATCTAGCGTTACCTTTTTCTTATAGCTAGCCGGCCGGCTCCTGGATGGATGGGGGCGTGAACGCATGCGTGTGCGCGTATAGTGCCGTAAAGCAATTCGTTACCTCGCGAGACCTAAAATCTCACGATACTTCCTAACACTGAGGCCGGCGGGGCGCCGACCCAAAGTTGCAAGGGTGGTTTTGCGGCTCACAGGCACCAGGGGGGTGCGAGACGATCACCATTCAACACGAAATCAGTAATATAAACATTACAATGACTCCAAAGCTGCTCAGTTAAGGTAAAAAAAAAAGTTACTTAGTTCTGCTTTAACACTGGGACAAAAAGTGGGGTTCGGGGCCTCCCCCGAGAAAATTTTGATTTCTCTGACCAAATTATGTGCAATTTAAGACTTTTGAAGGCCAAAAAAAGGATAATAAATAGCTTTAAAACCATGTCAGTGGGCATTCGATTATTTTGTCAATAGCCTGCTCTCTTCTCATCTACATCTTTCTTTTTCTCAGTCTCCTTATCCTGCCCTATTTCTTCCCCTCCTAAACTCCCAAACCCCCTGAACTTTGACTGATAGTCTTTCATTTTCGTCTGTTTCAGTGAAGTAAAGTAGGCTTAAATGATAATTATATGTTTTATGAATCATTATCTTAAACAAGTTAATTTACTCAAGGCTACCAGGTCAGTATTGCCACCTTCTACAAGCTTTGGAATTTAAAAAAGTAATTTTAAAGTCCCTGTAAAGGCAATTCTACAAAAAAGTTCTAAACGCATTATAAATGTTACATATGTATTGCTAAAACATATTACAAAGTCTGTGAACTGTGAAGTACTGAA